AAAAAAAAAAAAGCAAAAAATATGAACTGATTTTACTAGGGGAAATAATATGGTAACACGACGACCCATTGAATTAACATTGATTCATACACCAGATCAAAAGGAAGAATATGGTGAATTCCCAGAACTTGGGCTTGGTAAAATATTTGACTTTAAAAAGATTCAAAAGACGTTGGTAGACATGAATCTGGCTGTATCGGAAGCCGAATGTGTATCTGAAAAGCCGATTGAACTTCGAATTTACTCACCTAATGTGCCTGATCTTACTCTGATCGACCTACCGGGCTATATCCAAATTTCCAACCGCAATCAACCTGAAACATTGAAAAAGAAGATTGAAGATTTATGTGAAAAGTACATTCGTGGACCCAACATCATCTTGGCTGTCTGTAGTGCTAATGTCGACCTGGCAAACTCACCTGCCCTGAGGGCTAGTCGGAAATGGGACCCCCTCGGCTTACGAACGATTGGTGTGATTACCAAAATGGATCTTGTATCTCCTCAAGTGGGTGCCTCCATTCTTCGTAACACAGACTATCCCTTACATTTAGGGTACATCGGAGTTGTCTGTAAAGCACCCGATAATCCGACAGACGAAAACATGACAGATGCATTGATCAAGACAGAAGAAGCATTCTTTAGATCTCATCTCATCTTTAATCAGAGAGATATTCAAGTAGGCACTTCCACACTTCGCCACAAACTGATGAACGTGCTCGAGCAAAGCATGGGACGATCCCTTTACAGTATTGTAGATGCAGTTCAAAGAGAGCTTGAGGAAGCCAAGTATCAATTTAAGGTACAGTACAACGATAGAAGGGTTACGGCTGAATCCTATGTGGCCGAGACGATGGACTGCTTAAAGCACGACTTTAAAAATTTTGCAAACAACTTTGGAAAGCCGCAGGTGCGACATGAAGTCAGGTCCATGCTGGAGCAACGCGTGTTGGATATCTGTGCGGAACAGTATTGGTGTGATCCCAAAATAGCAGAATTGCCCAAGGCAGCCTCAGATGATATCTACTGGCTCTACAAAATTGATCTTGCTTCGGCAGCATTAACCAAGAGTGGCATCGGTCGGTCCACTACCCAGTTAGTCGTGGATGTGTTGATGAGCAATATGGAACGTTTGGCTAATGCTGAGCCGTTCAAGTATCACCCAGAGACACGCAAGCAAATAATGAATTTTGCAAGTGAAATTCTAAGAACCAAGTTTTTGACGACAAGTGATCAGGTAGAGAATACGATCAAGCCTTACAAGTTTGAGGTATATATATAATAATAATATTTATATATTGGCTTTTGATGACAAGAGAAAAACCCTTCTAGGTGGAAGTAACAGACGTTGAATGGAACGAGGGAGTGAAGCGATCTATTGCCTTGCTTGAAAAAGAGTTGGAGATGTGTGAGGAAATGACTACGTCCATCAAGAACTCGGTTGGCAAGAAGAAGCTTCAGAGCGCAATCAATTATGTACTGGATATGGACAAGGAAGAATATCGTCGCAAACTGGAAAATGAAACGGTGGAAGTGAAAGGAGAAGAACAACAACAACATCAACAAGACGAAGAAGAAGTGAAATCGATTTATAATCCCAAGCTTTTGAAGAAAGCCAAAGATGCAATATTTTTAAGAGATCGTGCAATGATATTAAAGTATCGTATCGCAGCATTAAAGAGTCGACAATGTAAGAGTTCGGAAAATAAACAGTATTGTCCTGAGGCATTTTTGAATGTGATTGCCGAGAAATTGACATATACAGTAAGTAAGCACACAATGCATAAAGTGTCACTAAACCTTAAATTGAATAGGCGGTTATGTTCATTCAAGTTGAGCTTCTAAACGAATTCTTTTTCCAATTTCCTCGAGAAGTAGACAATAGACTTGTTTATGAAATGGATCGACAGCAAATTCAGCAATTTGCAAGAGAGAATCCACCGATCCTAAGACATTTGGAATTACAGGAACGTAAGATGAAATTGGAAGAAGTGATGGACAAACTGAATTACCTGGTAAGAAGACAAGCAGACAGACAGTCTTATTCCACCAATACAACAAAGTCTAATCCATACATGTAAATTTGTGTACGCTTTGAACTAATACCCTTAACACCAATAAAATATTACTAATTTTGGTCTCTATTAAACACACATCTGTTCTTTTTCTTATTTATACTCCCTTTCTTCTTCTTTACTTTCTTTCTTTCTTTCACTTGAAAAAATGGTACCAGACTTATTTCACAGAAACAATATCACAGGCTTTGCCTTTGATCCCCCAACAGGTTATAGTGATTCCACGATGGATTGCTTTACTATAAGAGAGAACAAGGCGAATAGTCGTCACATCGAAAGCATGGACAATTATATTACAAAGGTTTTTTTATATATATTATCCATATTTGGGCTGTAACTGACCTTTTTTTTTATTTATATACCTGTGTGTACTACAGCGACATAATTACACTCAGATTGCACAAACTGATCAGTCACCCTCTCGTGGCTACTTTTCGCCATTATCATCACCTGTATTGCCTCTAGAACTATCATCTATTGATAACGAGAACGTGTTTTTATTAACTCAGCAACTGGCCTTGGTAGAGGCACAACAGTCGTTGCTTAGAGAGCAGCTTATTCAAGAAGATCTCGAGACCGCGGGAAAATCAATTTATCGCACGGATCAAGCATTGATTCAGCGACAACAAGAACAACACCAAGAACATCAAGGATCACCCTTGCAATATAATGTAGTGAATAATAGTAGTAATAGTAGTAATAGTAGTAGCAGTAGCGCTGATCATACACAAGTGTATAATTATCAACATATCTATCCGGCGTCAGCCACACCGGCATCTTTGATGAATCTGGATCATCGTCTTCATTCTACTCCTACTATGACAGGAGCTCCTATAGACATGCATCTATCCGATCAACCGACACCTATAGAACAGTACATAAGCTACAACAGAAACCACAAGCTCGAGACTGTCAAGAACGAGACACACTTGTCTGCCAAACGAACAATGTCACCACGTGCGCTAAAACCTCTTATTTCACCCTACCTACAGCCTGACCAAAGGAACCTTCAATTCCTGAATGCTGGCGAAGTGCCTGTGATGGACCATCGTCGATCAGCTCATAAAGTAGCAGAACAAAGAAGACGAGACACACTCAAGCAGAGCTTTGATGAACTGAGAGGGGAAATCGTTGAGCTCTTGGTTGCTCGTAGTGTCCATAATTTAACAGAGGACATCGATCAGATTAGAAAAGAAAAAGAAAAAGAAGTGAAAACGATGAGCAAGATATTGATTGTACAACACTCGTATGAATATATTACTCAGTTAAAAGCAGAAGTTCGAGAGAATAATGAAAGAATGAGACATATGCAAACAGAATTGCAAGCATTAAGGCAAAGAGTTGCAGAACTGGAAAGACATCGTTCATAGGGCATTATAACTTATATATATCACAGGGCATTTTGCATTTATTTATAAATCATTTAGAAGAGGGGCATCTTTTTCATGCATATATACAACAATAAATTTTTATATATTTATTTGTATAAAAAAAAAAAAGATGTTTGTATTATTATAAAAAAGATAGACAAGGTATCCCTTAGATATATATATATATATGTGTGTGTGAGTGTCTGTGTGTGTATACTTAACCAAGTATGGCCGCATCCAAGGGACACACATGATCATTATTTATACAAAGTAAAGTCCTCTGTATATATATATATATATATATATTTACTCTTCATCTTCCTCGGTTAGTTTTTTATCAGGAAATGTTCTAAGCCATTGCATACGTGGTCCCGTCGATGACAGTGGACTAACACGGAATCCAAATATTTTTGGTTGATAGACAGTAGGCGTAACTTCTCTGATACATGCAGGAAAGGTGTGAAAGAATAGATGAGGGAAAGTCGTACCAAAGTGAGCCCCTAATATATAAAAAAATATATATACATTATACAATACTAGATGAATATATATCATATCAAGTTTTTACCATCAATGTGAGCATATTTCGGATTAGGTGGTATATAGATATCCTTGCAATTTGGGCAATAAAGGCGTACATTACTCTGCTTTGGTGTATCATGTTGACCACAAGGCAAAAGGTGACAACCATCACAATAAACTCTAGGACATTTGCCAAATTCACCTGCCTTATATTTTTCCAACTATGACAACGATGAGTTTATAGATAGACAATATGATTTTTTCCTACTTGTTACCATTTGTAGCATACCATCCTTTGTAATGATATACCGTTGATGAATCAAGCCATACAATAGTTCTGCTGAGGGTTGAAGTAAGCTCAAGTCAGGAATACGGCTGTACATCGCATCATTGGGTTCCATATTAAGAATGACTTCAAGTGTTTCTTTGTATAAGGGCACTTGAGAACTCAAACCGCTTAAATTGAAAGGATCTTCGATGAACTTCTCGTCTATTTCTGCATAATACTTGTGATTAGGCGCTGAACAGAACCAACTAATCCACTAAGACTTCATTAGTTTCTTGCTTTCTTTTCTTATTACTTAATAATTACCGATTGAGGTTGATCTAAATCCATAGAAGCTGAATCGTCACCATCTATGTTGAAATTTAGTTAATGTTGCTTATATGCAATATAAACAAGATAAATTAGAAAATAAAGTCAATATTACCAACATAAACGTTCATTTTGGTTAAAGAGGTTTTTGTTTAAGAGAAAAAAAAAGAACTTGTCTAGCAAAAAGTCACGGTTGTAGTTTTTTTTGAAGGGCAAGATTAAAAGCAGTAAATTGAAAAGTTTCTTTGTACACTACTTAGTTTTACTTGTCTATTCGAGTTAATGGCAGCACTAACAATACCATATACATATAATATGTATGTAAGTCATTGATATATATATCAGTATGATACATGTCTTATTGGACTATATCTAAAGCGCATCTCTTTTACATTATACATTGCTGTACTACATGTAATACTTGTACAATATAGCCACGCGGTCTTGGAGAGAGTATCGTCATTATGATAGAATTAACCTTATTTTGAGACGTATATGTGATAACAGAAAAAATTTAAGCATTGGTAATCATCTGTGTAAAGAGAAAAGGAACCACAAAAAGCCACGCTTGTGAAACTGATGAGTTGTAGCAGCTTAGCTTGATAAGGGTTATATGAGATACTTTTTCGCGTCTCTATTGAATTACATTGTTTAATGACAAGAGTCATTGTCTTTAGATTCATCTTTTGATTCAATGGAACGTTTATCTCAAAAATTAAAAAAAAAAAAGAAAATTGCCATTTTCAGCCGAGAGTGTAGAATTATACATGTGAATCCTTTTGTAAGATCCTCAGTTGTAAGTCTTGAGTTTTAAAGCTCAAAGAATGTATATCTGACTACAGATTATATCAGCTGTCTATTAGCTTTGGACTCAGATTATGTACATGCACATTGATAACTTATCCTTCAACTTGTGCTCATTCTTGACGCCAAGTTACAATAAAGAACATGGAAATAATAAAAGGGGAAGAACAGGGTCATTTATTAGATATTTTCAATACAAACTGACTTTGGTTCAGTATTTTCCGGTATAGATCGTCATAAAACTAACATTTATGTTGCCAAATAAGAATGTTATTTAGCCAAAAACACTATCAAGCAAATCTACTCTGACCTATTCTCAGAATACATAAAATCTATCTTTACTTCCTATTAAAGATAGTGGCGCATTATATAAACAATTAGTCTATGTTTGCATGTACACTCTTGATGATTAAATCATGATACAGGATAGCCTTAAACATGATTATTGCATCTCAATCATGTAAGAAAATGTAAAGAACCCATGAAGAAGAAAGAAAAAGAAAATACCAGAATAGGTAAGAATGCAAAAAAAAAGGGGAAGCCACATTATCAAACGTCATTGTGTGTAGGCTGAATTTTATGATAAAAAGAGAATTTTCTCTATTTCTTTCTTTCTCTCTCTCTCCTCCCCCTTGCTTTTCTTATTACATTTATGCGCCCGATTCATTATATTCTTACCTTCTTCATCGTCCTGTGCGCTATCTCCTTTGTGAATGTAAATAATAATTAAAATTTTTCATTTGGGTTTACTTACTTTATATATAGGCGAGCAATGATTTAGAAAGAAAGCATATTATAACACGCTCTATTCTCTCAGATTCTTCTTCATCTTCAAAGACTACATCAAAAACCGAGCCAATTTTTGCTCTGGTGGTCGTCATAGCTCTTGGGTCACTGATGTTTTAAATGACGCTCTTAAGTCTGTTGCAGATCCCCCTCATAGACACCCGTAAACAGATAAGCAAGAACCAAGTAACTGTACATAGCTTAATTCATCACATACACATATACATTATATCCACACTTATACATGCACGCACGCGCATGTATGCATACATATACACACATATATAACACTGGCTGTGGAAAGAGAGAAAGTTGTCACTTTATTTAAATATATATAATAAATTAAAAAGTTGCAATGTTTTCATATCACCTGTTACCATA